AATGGTCAAGGTTTGGGGCAAATGGTTGAGTCTTGGAGCAAAACCAGTGAGATATGGGGCAAACATTGAAGGTTGGCAGAAAAATCTGTTGAGGTTTGATGAAAACTGTCCTAATTTGGGGCAAACGGTTGAGGTTTGGGACTGATCATCATCATCTGTGGCAAATGGAAGAGTTTGGGGCAAATGGTCAAGCACTGGGGCAAAACCACTGAGATTTGCGCCAAAGGCTGAGGTTTGGGGCAAATGGTCAGGGTTTGGGGCAAAACTGGTCGAGATTGAGGGCAAACGGTTGATGTTTGGGGCAAATGGTTGAGATTTGGGGCAAACCCAACAGAATTTGGGCATAACCAATGAGATTTGGGACAAACGGTCAAGGTTTGGGGCCAACAGTTGGGATTTGGGGCCAAACCAGTCAAGATTTTGGTGAAGAGTTGAGGTTTAGGCGGAATGGTTGAGGTTCGGGGCAAAATCGGTCGAGATTTGGTATAAAATGGTTGTGATTTGGGGCCAAACCAACCAAATTGGGGGCAAATGGTCAAGGTTTTGGTCAAACAGTGGCATTTTGGGTCAAAACCAGTCAAGGTTTGATGGAAACGGCCAGAATTTGAGGCAAACCGTCAATGTTTGGGACAAACCGTCAAGTTTTGTGGCAGATGGTTGACTTTGGGGGTGAATGGCCCAGGTTTTGGGGCAACAGTTGAGTTTTTGGGCAAACAGATGAGATGTGGGGCAAAAATGGTCAAGATTTGGGGTTAATAGTTGGGCTTTGGGAAAACAGTTGATGGTTGGGTCAAAAATCTGTGACATTTGTGGCAACCATTGAGGTTTGGGGCAAGAACGGTTGAGATTTGAGCAAAAACTTTTGAGATTTGGGGCAAAACAAGTTGAGATTTGGGGTAAAGAGTCAATGTTTGGGGCAAAGGGTCAAGATTTGGGAGAAGGACCTGGGTTTGGTGTGGAGACCCGGGCTGGGCACAGGGGTCTGGGGAAGGTCTGGGGACGTTGGGGACACGGGGGTCGATCCAGTTAGCACCAGCACCACCAGCATAAGCACCTTTGACGCAGTAGTAGGTGGCCGTGTCGCCGGCCGTGAGGCTGCTCATCTGCAGCGTGACCGTGCTCTGGGAGTCGTCCCTGGAGATGGTGAAGCGGCCCTTGACCGCCGACCCGTAGCTTGTGTAACCACCACTGCTGCTAATATACGCGACGAACTCCAGCCCCTTCCCGGGCG